TGGGGAAAAAGAACATGAAAATTTCATTTAAACACACTTTGATAATAAGTTTCTGTGAGTCAACAAAGTTAATGAACAGTAGATGCATAGTAATGAAATAGATCCTTTAAAGTTGTCGCCCTTTGGTGACGCCATTGCTGATAAGGCAGGCAATTTTGTATTTCAGTGTGGCCAGAAACACAAATCCAAATATTTCAAAATATTTCAAATTTTCAAAATCTGTTTCGCAGGCAGATAACCAGTTGCACAGCATTATTCAATGATATATGAAATACATTGAAAAAAATAATAGTTTGCATGCATTGCTCCTAATAAAAATGACTGACAGCAATTTATGTTTACCCCCACCCAATCAAAATGACCCCTTAAATATACAAATCTTCATGAAGGTGCAGCATACTCCAGAACCCGTCCGATTCCTTTAAAAATATCGCTAACACGCAGTGCAAGCTATGGCATTTTCAAAAATGACTGTCTGTCGTACGTTTAGATTTTTCACAAAATTTATCCGAAATTTCTTACTTGTTTGGCGCCAACTGTCATACATTGATTTTTAACTTTTTCACCTCCATTCGGAAAGTCACAAATACATACAAAGCTGCCAAAATGCTCAGTTTCGGGTAAAAACCCAAAAATACTTCTCATTTCCTACACACAAACAAGAAAGAATTACAATGACAGAGAAATATCAGAAGTTTCCAGTACCTTCAAAACGCCATGTCTAAGTTATTAAAAAAAATTGACCGGGGCCATCATTCAGATATGTCCCCTGCCACTATGTTAATAAAGTAATATAAAGATCTAAATCCTTTCTTTTAAACGACGCTCAGATTTAAATAGCCGAATTGTGTATTATTAAAGAATAATTTACCATAAAGGTGTGTGAAAATGAATAGAAACGTTTCCCATAGTAAGCTTAACGTTACGTTTTCGTGTTGGATCATGGCTGGATAATTGATACTTGCCCAGATCATGATAATCATTTTCATTTGATTCTAAATACACAAATGTACATGTAATGAAATATGTCACATCGTGTTTTACCACGCACTTACTTTTCACTTAAGCAACAGTTATTTAGTGTTACAAAACTACAAATGTTCCGTAGTTTCGAAAAACTGCGACGCTATAATTCATATAATTATGGTATTTCTTTTGGATGTTTATGTACTTTGATTACACTGTTCAAACAATTAATTATTAGATACTAGATTAATAAAAAGTTCTATGTACTTTGTTTTTTCTATCATTATTATTATTATTTATTATTATTATTATCATTATTATTATTATTATGATATTTTTTTTTTTAAATCGAATTTTGCGGTATTCATCTCAGCGATTTTTTATATATATATTTAATATGATATTATTATTTCATTTAAATTCAACTCAATATAATTTTATAATAATTATTTAATTCAGTTTTCATTTAAAAGCTACGTGTTTGCACAACATCTGTACGAGGGATGGTCCAGAATGACGCGGTGTTTGTTAAATATTCTGACAAAGTTTATGCTTTCTTCATTTAATTCATATACCTACGCAAAAATTGATTATTGTGAACCAACATTTCAACGGTTTGTAAATGCAACGTTTATTTATCCGAAAACATCGTTATTAAGGCGTCCGAACGAGACATTCACACAAACATTTGTACCAGTTCAGAACGTTTCCTTCAGAAACATTTAATATTACGAAGGGAACAAGTACAAGTATCTTGTTAGTCAAACATATGTTTCCGAGTGGTGTAGAAGTGTTTTTATCAGACAGTTGATCTTGAAGTTTTGATGGGATAGAAACATGCGCATGACGATTTTCGTTCCCCGTTGCTGTAGAGCTTTAAAAAGACAAATGTGCTGTCATGTGCCGCCTTGCAGAAACTCTTATATTAAAGATTTAATTTATTATTTATCCAAACCTTATTCTTATTATAACTGAAATTAAGTAATATTCAAGTCCTTTATAGGAATAATTACTTGTCAAACATGCTATATAATATATAAAAAATGTTGTCTATGCAGAATCTTTTTGGCGAATATGAAACATTGCTATTCTTAGTTTTCGTATAATATAGCAGCGGAAAAGTCATTTTCTTTCTAACTTTATTTAGATGCAATCACGTATCGAACATTAATGGTAGCTTTGCCAAAAAAATCATTTTGTTTTGTAGATAGCGATTGTTAAAAAATGACAAATAATGTTAAATTAATAAAATATTAGCAACACTGGCTTAAGATAAATGTACAAATATACCAAATCTTTGTTTATTACAGCTTGGACCCCTGCTGAGTCTCCTGTCATAAAAATCTTCCCTCAAAACACTACATGCCTCTTGGCAATTTGTCAACACAATGTCTTAAACTATATACTATATATACATGTAGACGCTTTTCATAGATTACTCTTGGTCAGTGTAGAGGCACATTAAACGTCCACTGAGTTAATTAACCAAAGCATTCTTAGTAGATTATAAAACATGTACTGGTCTTTCAAACATAAGCCCATCAGCCAGACATGTATAGGTTAGTGTTTAATAATACGTATTAACAAAAATAATTGGTCAAGCCTGCCGCAGGCAGGCGACCAATTATTTTTATTAATGCGTATTATTAAACATTAACCTATTTAATGATCAACATTATTTTTTTCAACCAAAAACAAGGCATTTCTCTAAATCACTGATAGCTTCGCCCTTTCGCTCTACAAGATGTCTACACCTTGTCAAGTTTCTAACATGTCACATTTAGATAAGCTAAATAAATGGCCCTTTCAGCATATAATCAGGCACATTTTTATTGAAATGTCACAGAATTTATACCTTTATCTACAGTAAGACAATCATGTTTCTATAAAATATCTGAGAAAAAAAAGTGAGGAAAACGATGCAATTAGGTAAAAACAACGGAGTTAATGAAATGTGTATATCCTTTTAAAATAAATGGAAAATACTTAAGAGATTATTAATTGATACAAATTCGTAATTGGGTTCAAGTTATTCACTAACATTTAAAATCCCTATTAATTTGCTCATTTGAAAAACAGTACATTTTTTTTTTCTGTGTATCAATTTAGGTTTACAGGTGGAGGTTGTCCATTTACAATGAGTTTTCCAGCCAAAAAATGTAATCATTGTATTCTCAATATCAATGATTGTTAATGTTGTTCATTTCTATCAAGTGAAAAAAAATAATGTTTTGGAAAATATAAAGTTTAAAACACTCAGCAATTTATAACAGACATTTTTCTTAGAGTTAAACGGATATAAAAAAGTTACTATGTAATCATTTGTCTCTGCGTGCCCAACATGTATTATCTATGTAATAAATCAATTGATTAAAACCTCACATTTTGAAACATCTGACCTCGACTATTTTTTTTATGTTTGCATTGTTTTGCTAACCTTGATATTTTAAAATTCACGGTGTAAACCATACCTCTAAACTCCTCCCTAATATAATTAATGCATTATTGAAATTTGTTAGTGTCTGCATTAAGTGAATTTTATTTAGTTAGTACACATTAACCAAAGTTAAACTTAGCAGAAATTTGAAAAATACTACAATGTGATTGGACAAAAATTAATGTTGATCATTATTTTTGGATCCGGCCCTGATTAAATAAATATATATTTAAAGGATAACATACGATTATAAATGTATTTTTGCAAATTATAAAGCGCTAATTCATTTTCAATTAAATATGTAAAGTTGGATTGTAAGTAATAATATAATTTGTAATGTTTTGAGACTGTTTTGCAATGTGTACATGTTAGGCAACTTGAGGAGTTATTGACAATTTGTTTAGTACATTGAATCCTTTTCAGATACATAAATCAGACACTCTGAGTCTTGAATATGTTTTTTTCCAATAAACTAAAAGAAGCATTAATCTTTTTCCAACAATGGAAAATACAAGATATAATACCGTTTATATGTTATTAAATAAAGTCACTGACAATGATTTTCAATAGTCATATTCCACGGGACATTTGATAGTTGTTTCTGAATTTATTACAGACCAATTACGTAGGTGTACGAATGAAAAGGGAGACAGGTGCATGTGAAGGTTTGTCAAGTGACTTAGCGACCCATGAAGAGATCATGGATAAAGCCTATGCTTATGCATATAGACTACAATACGACCAATTCTATCGACCACCGGTAACTATCTTTGAATATAAGATAAGATAAGATAGTTTATTAAAGTCTCATCATCATGTACAATATTAAAACAATACAAATATAAAACCTACGACATTGTACATAAATGCCACTCATAGATGAGTTATAAGAGACTATACATTACTTTACAACAAATCTAACATACTGGACATATCTACAAAGTTACTTAAAAATAAAACCAAGTATTTTCCTTCTTTTAAAAAAAAAATAAAAATTATGTGAAGAGTTGAGACAACCAGACTGTATTTAATTTAGTTGAAATTTTGTGTAGTTTGTGTTGTTATTGCTGGTTGTAAGATTTGAATGTTACAACAGTGTACAAGTTTACTGTGTTCCGAGAAACGCCCAGATATATGCAGATCCTACACACATCCGAATGTTCATCCAAACACTATACCCTTGATATAATATGTATGTGTGTTTTACCTAAATAGTAATAAGATTGGGTGTAAAGCAATAACAAGAAAGTGTGATTTATTCATGACTAGACATTGCAGTCCTATAGTATCATAAGACCTATTTGTATGTTAATACAACTGTATATGGTACAATGGTTCAATTCAAGAAGCAGCCTCCAAACAAATACTCATGACTAAAATCAAGGCAAAGCTCAATGTTGCGCATTAGAGCGATATCCTATATCAATATAAAAAAATACAAAAATCTTAAATTAGGAATTTTTATCACGTCTACTTATTGGAACCTACTTCTTGAATATATTTGTAAAAACCATAAAAACAATCTAAAATATTACTAACCATTATTTACATATTGGTTAAAACAATACTCCATAAAAACAGATAAAAGAATCATGATTTACAGTACAGTTTTCTTTTTTCTCTCAAACAGAATATGGTGGCAGGCTTTGGCAGATAAATATATTAGGTTTTCACTACCAAAAATTGTAACCATTTTGTTATCATCAGATATAATATATCTATTTCTTAATACATCATCTAACGCAGAGACCAACTCTTTCCTTATATCATTATATAATGGACAGTAAAGTAATACATGTTTCTCATCTTCTATAGTGTCCGGACAGTTAAAGCATTTTCTATTCATTACATCAATATTTTCATAACGACCTGTTTCTATTCTTAGTGGTGCTACACCACATCTTAATTTTGTAAAGGCTGATCTATACATAAATGGCAACTTAGACATAAGGTACTTTTCAGTGCAGAACTGAGATTTAAACTTCCTGTAAGTCCTTAATTTATTCCCGCCATTTCCTCTAATGGCATTTTCTCTCTCAAGTAATAACTTCCATTTATTTGTTTCTATTTCCATAAGTTTAGATTCTAGCATTGATATGGTAGGTTTGGAATTTCTGATATTAGCCTCTAGTATGTGATTACTATCAATATCTTTTAAAAGTTTCTTAAGTCGGTAAAAACCATTCTTGACATTACTTGCTTTAGACCACATATATACAGACTTATTAATTCTATTATCATCCATATTCATAACTCTAAAATACTGTCTAAATACAGACACCCACTGTCTAACAACTGGTGGTTTCCAACCCATCTCTCCACTTACAGCCACATTCGGAGTGTATCTCCCAACACCCAAGTAGTAACGCATTGCCCTATGATGAACTGCATTAATGCACGAATAAGATTTATCACCCCAAATCGGGGCACTGTAATTAATTATGGGCCATACCATTGAATCATAAAGTTTTGTAAATGTAGAGTACTGAAAACCACCAAATGCCTTACTTTTGGATATAACAAGACCAAGTGCTCTAGAGGCAGATATTGCAACTGTCTTTGCAATTTCATTATAATCCAAAAATTCATTTAGTACGACACCAAGATACTTATAACTATGAACAATTTTCAGTTTTTCTGAATTGAATTCAAAAACATGTTCAGTTTTAGAAATACTGTTGGCTCTAAAGTGAACAATATTGGATTTATCACAATTGACAGTCATTTTATTTTGACAACACCATAAAGCTAAAGCATCTAACATGGATTGAAGATCTTTGGCGTTTTCTGCCAACAAAACTATGTCATCAGCATATAGCAAAATACATATTTTTCTTTCACCTTTGTCTAAATTATTCATATACATTACTAAATCATTAATATACAAGTTAAACAGCATTGGAGACAGGGGGCAGCCTTGTTTCAATCCACATTTTACATCAAACCAGGGTGTATCAAATCCATTTAAGCGTGTACAGCACTTAACATCTTTATATAATGATGAAATTGCCTGAAACAGTCTGCCCCCTATCCCCACCTGCTGGTGCAACTTTTGCCACAGTGATGTACGGTCTATAAGGTCATACGCCTTCCTGAAATCTATAAAAGCAATAAATGTTTGTAACTTTTTAAGTTTACGTGTTTCAATAATATTTGTTAGGGACTGTACTTGGTCAATTGTACTTTTACCTTTTATAAAACCATTTCGCTCATCACTTATAATATTATTACTAGCTGTCCATTTTACTAATCTATTATTTAAAACAGAGCAGTATATTTTATACATGGATGGAGCCAATGAAATGCCCCTGTATGACAAAGGATCCCGTGGGTCTGTGGTTGAAGACTTGGGAACTGGTGAAATTATACTCTTAGACCATGCAGTAGGAACAGTACCACTTAAAAAAACATCTATTAAAAAGACTATGTAGCAAAGCTAACGCAGAATCATTTTTTAGTAGTTCACATGGTATATTGTCATAACCCGGTGCTTTACCAGACTTTGCATGTAAAATACATTTCAATACCTCATCAATAATTATCATGCTATCAAAGTGTTCATTCTCTATTTCATCAACACTATTAACATTAAACTGATCTAAATCAACAGAAGCCTGGTCATTGTCAAAGTCATTTGATGCAGTGTTCTTCGAGTTTAGAAGGACTTCAAAATCAGAGCCCCACTTACTAAGTACAGTCTCTGGATCAGAGCTAATGGAACCATCGGACATTTTCACTTCAAACGGAATACGCTTTAAACGTTCATTTCAAATACCAATATTTCCAATACTTTTCCAAAATGATCTGGAGTTGGAAGATACTGCCGCCTCCAATTCAGACTGGGCTTGATAAACATATTGCCTCTTTGCTCTCTGAACACTACTATCAAATGCCTTTCTTTTCTGTACATAAACATGTTTAAGGTTTTGTCTATTACCATCCTTACATTTTAGCCACATTTTTTTCCGCTTGGCATAAGTCAGTCCATAAGACAGTAAAGTGATCAGACCACCAAGGTTTATTTACTTTAAATTTCTTACCAGTTTTTCTGTGAGAAGAAATTTTTAGTTCTAGTTTAGAGGACATCTCGTTATGTACTATATTAACAAACTTATCATATGCCTCATTAGGGCCAACCTGTGTAATCATTGTATTTTCCAAGTATCAAAAAATCTCATGCTGAACATCTGGATTTGTCAAAAACTCTCTACCTACATTCTTAGTCTCATATAACAATTTGGTATACTCTATACTAGACTGGGAATTACATTGTTTAATATTTACTCCCTGACCATCTAAACATATATTCCATCTAAGCAATGAATGGTCTGGTATTGTGAGCTTACTAAGCTGAGAGTACCCATTAGTAGAATCTAAAACATCGGACACCTTCAGTACTTCAAAGTCAATACACTTTGACAAATTTTCATATGGAATTAAAGAAAAATCAACAACTGATGCACCTTGAGGTCCAACAAATGTAAAATTATTGTTTATAGTATTCCTACCATTAAGAATATAAACATTTACATTAATTAAAAATTCAGTTAAGATGTCTCCAAATTGGTTTGAAGAAAAATCTATTACATCTCTATCTGGTAGCTGATCAATACCAGGGATATAGTCTACATTGTCAGAACATCTACTGTTAAAGTCACCACACACATATAATACAGTATTTTCTTTCTGATATGTTTCTATTTGACAAAGAAGCGTGTCATAAAATTCATTTACATCAATCTGCCTACACGAGTTTTTTGGTGGCAAATAACAAACACAAGCAAGTATATCATCATAAATGACATTTTTACATGACAATGAAATCCAAAAAATACCTTCAAACTCATTGTCAATAATATTACAATTAAATTCATTTAAAAGGTCATTTTTTATCAAAAAAGCAACACCTCCTGACCCAGTTTTTGCTTTTTATGCAAGTTACCTCTATTAGAACCATAAAATGTATAGCCTTCTACATGTAATACTTGATTATAACGAATATGTGTCTCTGCAATACCTAATATGTCATAATTATAAAATTTTACACAATGTTCCCTCAATTTATGATTATCAGTTAAAATGTTAGTGTTCCAATTTTGCACGTTCCAAAACCCGCAAACTACCTATCTCTTGTGGTTATTGCTTCGTTGACTGTTTTGATTAAAGCGACCATAGTTCTTGCCATACCGACCAGTTCCAGGACTCCTTGAACGGCTTCTTGACCTGTTGTAGGTTGAGCCACTATTGCCATTTGAAGTGTGTGAATCACGGTTTGCATCATTTTGTCGAGAACGGTCTCGAACGTCACTATTAGAATTACTTTGTCGAGAACGGTCTCGAACGTCACTTTTCGATACAATATAAGCACCACGCATCTCGAGATTAGATACTTCCCCTGCCTTCAGGCTATCTAGAATTTTCCTGAAGTTATTTGCCTGTACCCTCTCTTCCCTCGACCTATCACTAGATATAAACACATTACTGTATTGCTTATTGCGACGTAAACACGATTTCTTTTTAAGCACCTCACTTTTGTCTTCCTGACTCTTCATTGTAGCAACGATGACTCTAGCGCCCTCTGCACCTTTACGTTCGGCACGTATTGCACGCACTGACACATGTATTACATTTTCCAAAAAGGTGTTCACTTTGTCCAATACATTCTCGTTTCTAGATTCCTTAATATTCACTAGCACAATATTGTTTAAAATGTCGGTCGATTTGGGATTATGGAGATCTAGATTTTGCATTAGTTCCTCAATGTTTTTCTTCGATTCCTCAATATTCCTCAATATATGCCACATACATGTATTTTACGTAATAGTTATAGTATATGAAACGAGTTTGTTACGAAGATATAACACTGGCCGGGCGACATCGAGGTGATGTTTCTGCTAAAATGAATGCCGAGGTCGTTAGGAAACATCCCCAAAAAGAAATTTCCCGAGATGTCGCCTCAGCCAGTGCTATATCCCCGTAACTAACGAGTTTCATATATTATTACAATTTCAGAATAATTTTTTTACTAGAAATCAGGAAAAAAAACATATGCATTTCTCTCTACTGTGCCCTTTCACTTTTATTTCAAATGTTTGAAGTGTAAAAAAAGACAACACACAACAACACAACAACAACAACAGCAACAAAAACTAACAAACACCAAAGAATAAAAAATATATACAATGGTTAAGTTTAAGACGTCAAACGTCGAATGAGAATTGATAAAAAAAATATATAAAGACAAATATCGATCTTTTTTTCTCTGCTAAACTGTGGTCTCTTGAACTGTTTTATAACATTATTATTTAATGTTTATTATTTAATGGTTTTTCAGCTGGAATGTTACAGTTTTTCATGGACTTTGCCTGGAATATTCGAGAGTGGAGCAGAATTTGAAGTCACTGCAATAATGCCACCCCACCAAAATCCTGTATGTATATGATTAACACGAAAACGACAAAATGTGATGAGCTGCAAATTGTTAAATAATGAATTTCAAATATTCTATACATATATACATGTACGATATGGAAACGAATTAATTACTTTAAGTCCGTGTTCTGTATTCACAGTGCGAGACGGGTTTAAAATGTCCATTATGCCCCTATACAACGTCTGGTGTCTAAACGTACATGTACTCACAAGCCAATTGTCCGAGACAGCTTTTGCTTCTGTTGAATGATTGATTGATTGATTTTCTTTAGACCGGGCGGTCAAGGATAACCTACGAAAGTGCAAGCACTTATTTCCAGTAGGGTCCTTACCTCAGCAGACACTAGAGACAGCTATGAGATACAAGGAAATCCGGGAACCAGTCCCTAGCTCTTATTGAATAGATTCCTTGGTTCTTTTACATATCCAGTGTATAGCACTGATACATGCGAGGATTATCTGGGTTTCGTACCAGTAAACCTCTAGTTAAGTGGAAAACACTGAAAGTGTTTCTGAAAAATCCCAAGGGCGTTACCGAGGATCGAACCCGGAACCTCAGGAGTGACAGTCAGTGGTATAACCAACTGAGCTATCGCGCCACCTGAATTTTAGAAACTAGTTCGGTTATTGTAATACAGTATTTTGTATGGAAGTCAAAATACAACTTTTTACATTTTGCTACTTTTATAACAAAATCAAAGGCCTTAACGGCCATAATGACTAACGGGTTTGATATGACAATAAAGTGGAAGGAAAAGCATCATGTTCATTAAGTCAAGAGACAATAAGGCATCACTTCAGTGTCATAGAACCCTTCAAAACAATTAAATCTTAAAGAGAGACACAGACAAAATTTTCATTTTTTAGTTTTGAATTTTTCATTCATTATTCTTCAAATGTCCTCAAAATAAATATACTAGGCAGTCACAGGAACAAATCTTTTCTCATTATAAATTATTAAATGATAGTTTTCCTACCTGACCCACGTGGGTCAGGTGAGAGCGTTATTATTTCACAATAGTTGTCACAGTTAACTTTGGAAACGCTGAAGAACATGTCAAATGAATGACTTAGACTTGTGTGTTTATTATGCTTTTATTGTAGGCAGATCTCAGTTTCGTGATAAATTATTTAAAGATCCTGTTTGTTGTAATTAAGGATGTAACACATAGTTAAGTGAAGTATTATATATGCATATAATTATTCTTCTTAAACAATTTCCAAATATCCTAGACTATGTTAAAAATGTACAGCAAATGTATAGGCCTATGTACATTATAATTAAACATTTACATGGATGCATTAATTTTTTATTGAAAAAAAAACTGTCTAAGATTTAATCGAAAACAAATTTCGAAACTTACAATATTGATATATCTTCATTTGAGCATCGGATTTATGATATAGAACTAAAAAAATGCGTTACAAGATCTTTAAATCTTACATAATAACTATGAGGTGAATATTTCCTTTTTGACACTGACAAATGTTGTATGAATGTATAGAAGAATAATCATTTATTTTCTTAAATGTATACATATTAAATGTTTGTCCTTTAGTTTATACTACTTTATTATAGTTCGATTGTGTTGGAAATTTTAAGTTTATTGAAACACAATAATTTAATCCGTTCCTGGAACCAACCATTTCTAAGCAATGAGTGTAAAGTTTCTTGCTCACGAAATAAGCCACTTCCCCCTGACGGGGTTTGAACCCATGCAGGCAGCAATCCTAAGATTACTAATCCGACGCGTTAATTACCCCGCCATGGCGCTTCTCAATATCAATTCACTTTCTGTTCATGTCTAACATGACAAATTAACTTAAGAATACAGACTAAATAGTTTTAGCATTTTGTAAAAAAAACTACATTAAAAATCGTTATTTTGAACGAAAACTCTTTTTGATACAAATTTATAAGATTTGTGATTTATTTCTACATAGATATGTCGGCCTTCTTGACGAACAGTCAAGTGACTTGATGCATTTCAAGTAAGTTTGCAATTAACTTAAACTTGATTTTAATTAAAACGAACAAAAAGGTTCATATTTACACTGTAAAGTCGCATATGTAGCATGTTAGCATGGCCCCATATACAGTTACTACAGTTACAGTTACTATAAGGGTTCACTAAGATTCTCCTGCAATGAATATATGTTGTTTACTAAATATTTTTAAATACATTGTATTTGTAAAATCACGACATTTCATATTAATTTTGTAATAAGTCAATTTAGATGAGACATGTTCGTTTAACACAAATTTAACAATGCATCATGCAATAAGCGATAACAGTCA